CCTCTGTTAAGAGGAAAAATGGCGAAACGTGCATACGATTTTTATGCGCATCCGATTTCAGTAATCTCCTATGAAAATACACAAAAGGATGTGCCTTCACAATCGATTTTGGATAAAATACGCATATTATTCGCGTATCGATATATTTTTGATCTATTTTCACACAGATTCGCGAATATGATAACACAAGCATAAATGTATGTAAAATCAATTCGAAGAAAAACGCGATTATATACGCGAATTTGTCAAAATAAGTTTTTGCAGTTTTTCCCACATTCATGGTATCTATATCCGCCGTTTTATTGGGAGGAATTGAACATGGATGGGCTCATTAGATCCGGCACGCAAAAAAACAAAAATCACGCGGGGTTCCACGGAATGTGAATGGACTTTCTTAATTTGAGACTCAAAAAATATGTTTTTTATAAAAATTTACGCACCAAATTTTCGACTTTGGAACCCAATTGCAAAGAAGCTACGGTGAGCACATTCATGAGATATACACTAAACGAAGCAAAATCACGAGTTCTACAATCCTATAATTACTTTAGTCCATTTTCTGAATGAGCGTCCTGATTATAAGAAAATTTCAAAAAACACCGAAAATCCGGCTTCAAAATGTCAGCATCCATTTTGGATGGATGCAGTGATTATATCGAATAATAATACATTAGAACCATATTTTGACAAGAACACTTCATTTTATAGAAATGAATTTAAATTATATGCAATATGTTCATATTTCGCGAGTTATTACCTTGCAAACCTCAGTTTCAAGGAATTTTAAAAATTTTCTAATTTCCCATATATAGTTTCAGCACATTGGACCCTTATTAAGTACCAAACGTTTCCACGAAACATTATAAATATTGGTCCACTTTTTCTGGTAGCCCCCATATAACGGTAACACCCAATTTACCGTAATTTGGGGGTTCTTAATCGCTTTTTCAACAGAAATTGCTGAAATTTGGAAATTGGGTACCAAATGTTCTTGTCGCCCCCAATTTCTTGTCGCCCCCCAAATTTTTGGTATTTTGGGTTTCTTAAGCGCGTTTTATACCCTTCACCACACTTTTGTATTATGTCTTTGTGCATATGGTTGTAACAGGCAAAAGGAATTGAGATAGACCCTTGGCTTCTTTTGAGAATATGCATAGAATCAGTTTCTGAGTCGAATTACGCATGTCCGTCCTTGTATTTTTGTGAACAAAGTACAGGTGCCTTTTATGGTCCGATTTGGATGAAATTTAGCACAGTTCACTTATTGGCCCAAGAACGAACCCCAATGAAGATTGGTTCAGATTTAGATATAGCTCCCATATATAGTTTCGTTCGATTTTATGTAAATGGTGGATCAAAATCCCAATTATGGTCCGTTTGAGACAAAATTTTGTACAGCGTAATGAATTAGGTCCGGATTGCTGTATGCGAGGTTTTGTTGGAATCGGTTCATATTTAGATATAGCTCCCGTATATAGTTTCGTCTGATTTTATGTAAATGATGTACCAAACTCCCAATATTTGTCCGATTGACACAAAATTTTGCACAGAGTACTGAATTAGGTACAGATTGAATTCTGCGAAGTTTCGTCCGATTTTTTGTGAATGATACACCAAACTCCCAATATTTGTCCGATAGAGCAAAATTTTGCATAGCGAATGCAATTGAAGAAAAATGATGTGTGATAAGGTTTGTTGAAATCGGTTCAGATTTTCATATAGGTCTTATATATTTTCGTTCGATTTTATGTAAATGCTGCACCAAAGGGCCTATTTTTGTTCGATTTACACGAAATTTGGCAGTGTGTATTAAATTGAATATAGAGTGATAACAAAAAACAAACGGTGTATGCAACGGTTGCTCAATTAGGTCCATGTGTTTATATATAGCTCCCATATATTATTTTACTCGATTTCTTACAAATGGTACACCAAAGAACCCAAGTCTGCTCGTTTGACATGCAATTTTTCATTGATTTCAGAATGGTATGTGTATGGGTTTTTTCAGTTGGTTCAAATATGTAGATAATAACATCTCCTGTATGTACCCAAAGTGGTGAAGGATATCATATAGTTGGACCCGTCCTTTTTTACTGGTTTTAATTTGAAAAACAACTCAAAACCAAATCACAAAATAAAACCGTTTACCCAACATATTCTGGAAGTCCAGTTGACAGCAAGTCTTCCAAGGCACTTCCAGCAAGCAGATGTTTCTATATATAGGAGGTGATGCAAATGTGGTATACCTATTTGTTTTTAGATTGCCAAATTTTTATTTTTTATCCGATTAAATTGAAATTTTGCATTTAACATGGTACATGTGTTGTCTTTCCATGTATCAATTTGAAAATAATATTATTCTAACAATTTAAGAGATATTTGAGAAAATATTTGAAATCCCATAAAAAGTGATTTTAAAAAAAGTGCAGGTAATGTGGTATACCACATGATGTTAATGTGGTATAGTATAATTTTCACTTCCAATTGATATCTTATATAATTTATTGTTTTTAATGAATGCGAATTAGCTCGAGATTTGTGTCAGTTAAGATTTTTAACGGATACGTTGAGTGGAACTTAAATTTTTATTATATAATAATGTCTACACATGTCAATATTTAATTTTTGTATGGAGAAGTTGTTAAAACTCATAGCCTTTGTTTTTCATCCTTGTGATTCATGGTAGACTCTCGTAGAGTACAAATGTTTCACATAGTAATGAGATTTTGTCTAGTGCTGGCCTTTTTTCATGCAGAACCAAGGTATACCACATTACCTACACTTGTGTTTACTGAAGAAATGTCTAGTTTTTTTCCAAATTGGTGATTATGTGGTGCAATCGCGCATATTATTTGATTTTTAGTTTATACTGTCCATTATAATTCGAAAACACGATACAGGCCACAGTTATGTACCAATTTTCACGAAATTTTGCATATAGGATGGGTTCTGGCCTATTGTTTTTGGGAAAGATCGGTTAATATTTAGGGGATGAAATGGACCAAATACTAATTTTTTTCGGTTTTTCTGGTCGCTCCAGGGACCGTAATAATGGCCCCAACTTCGTGAAATTTTGCATGGAGAAGGGGATCGGGCCAAAGAATAAGCATGCCTGTTTTGATAAAGATCGGTCAATATTTAGCGGGTCAAATGGACCCTTACTTTTGTGTGAAAAAGTACAAAATTTGTATTCTATAGCATATATATTTACCACTGAAGGACATATACCCGAGAAGTTGATATTATATCCAAGAGGAGTGGTTGACCTTTAAATTAAGACCAATTATATTGTTGTATGTGCTCGGATGTGGGAGTTACAACTAAATATTTACAGGTATCTCCGTATTCGTATATTATTTAGTAACCCATTATCACTCTAGAGAGCGGAACTATAACGCTGATCGCTTTGAAATGTTCCATGAGGTTCCGGGTATGGTCAAGAACAACACCTATCATTTTCGGTGATGATCTGATAATAATTTTGGAATGAAGTGGACCGAAAACGTAATTTTTTGTGTTATTTTCGAGTCGATCTATAGACCACAAATGAAAACCGAACATCACAATGCAAACCACGGTGAAGGGAATCTGGACAATAGCTGTATTGAATACTCGTAATATTCGGAAAATATGTCAGTTTGAGGAAGAGGTGCTGTTTATCTCTAATCGGGCAAGAGTGTGCAAATATCACGAAATATTGTCCAGGCTCGGAATAAACATCCGCAGAAAATTTGAGTTCCGTGGTAGTTGTGTAGGGTATTATATGGTCGGCCCCGTCCGACTATACTGCTCCGCTCACTGGTTTTTAATTTATAATTAAATTGTAAAATCATGTTCACCATGACTTTTACTTTTATGTCGTGTTTTGGAAATGAGTACTTATATGTATGTAAAGTACTAAATTGTACTATATTTGTTACTATTTGGATTTGGTGAACAGATAGATAGATGGGGGTAAGATTGAGGTATGTAGGTAGTTTTGGAAATTCGTACTTATGTGTTCTAAATTTGATACAATTTGAATTTTGCGTGAAACGATAGAGCTGAAATCTTGAAATTTGAAGTTAGGATCACTGTTGGGGTGTAGGCCGAAGAAAGAAGTTTTGAAAATTCATACAAATATGTTCTAAATGATACAACATTTGGTACAATTATGAAGCGATCGGGCTGGAATTTTGTAATTGAGAAATATTTTTACATTTGAATTTCTATTTGACATTTATTAATATCCTGTATAAAAAAGAATATCCTGCATAAGGAACAGACAGATTATCATTAGAGACCATTGACATGGATTCAGACGAAATTTAATATATATATATACATTTAAATCAAACCCTACACATGTAATCCTGAAATCTATACAAAAACTTCTGCCAATAGCTCCTATATATAGTTTCCAGACTTAGGGTCTTTGATGTACCATTTGTATGAAATTTAGCAAAATTAATTATGGGAGTTATAGGTAAACCTTTTTTTTATTTTTGTGCAGTATATAGCTTAAATCGGTCGAATTTTCGTCTTAATAGGAAAAATCTTACCAGTTTAGTGAACTTAAACCGATCGAAAATACATATGAGACTCATACTGTTTAAGTTAGACATTAGTTTTTGTTAAAAATAAAGGTCAATCTATTGTGACCTATATTATCGTTAAAATCTGTCCACTCCGTAATATTACATCCTTGTGATAATTACATTGCAGATTTTAACGATAATATTTCGTTAAGTTTATGACATTTCCCACCTCTCATCATCTTATTCTCACACTCTCTTTTGGGATCGTTTGAACGCCAGCAGCTTTTTCGTAAGCATCCGGAGATCGTGCGAATTTTAAGGTAAAATTGTTACCATTTCATTTTTTTATTTAATACATAATTTGGTATTGGACTAATTGTCAAATACCTATAAAACAAACCAAAAAACTATTGTGTTTTTTCTTATTGGTTTTCCTATTTTCCTTTTTTATTTACATTGACGTAAACATTTGGTCCTTCGAGCCGGATGTTTGTAGACCAACTGTGGGATATAATTTTGTCGGCAAATCTCTAAACGCAATGCCCAAATGAGTGCCATTCTTAGTATAGAAACATGTATTATTGACGAAATTTACACAACAGCCGATAATATCGCCTGTGGTAAATGTCGGACCATACGATTGCCCATGGCCGGATGAAGAAAATGAATTACCATCATCGCCATGATAACCATACGATTGTTTATCCCAACCTGGCAAACGATTCATACGAAACTGTTGAGCTGTCAAACCAATGCCCATGTAACCATTTTTGCCCTTAGATATAATTTTCACTTCGAAATAATAGATGCCACAAGCGGGTGGTATTGGATGGGCTGTGCGAACAGAAGCTGCATCATTATTTTGTTTACCTTTAAAATGGACCCGCAAATTATTCTGCGACAAACCAATTGACAAACATTTATCGTGTGGACTCCAGCAACGTGGCAATGGTGTTTCGTTTTCGTTGACATTCGGATAAAGTAATTTTAGACGATCGACAACTGGTTCATTGTTGCTGCCGCTGCCGCCGACCCCACCATTGCTGGTGGTTGCACCACCATTATCTGTGGAACCATTGCGTTCGGCATTGCTGCTGCTGCTGCTAGTCTGGGCGAACATTGTAGAATTGTTGCTGGTGCCGCTGCTGCTGTTGTTGTTATTATTGTTGTTGTTGGTACCGTTTTTAGTTGTACCAAATTCGTAGGGATAACCAGAACCAGCGCTGCTAGACGATGCTGAATGATGCTGCTGCTGGTGGTGGTGGTGTTGATGTTGGTACGATGAGCGGGGATTATGATGATACCGGTGATCGTAGGACGGCGGTAAATGTTTAGATTCTTCAGTTTGTTGTTGTTGTTGTGGCTGTTGATAAAGCAACAAAGGCAGTGTTGTTGGTGGTGGTGGTTGTTGTTGTTGTCCTGAAGTACCAGCCGATCCTGAAGGGGAAATATCTAATGATTCTTGCGACTGCTGCTGCTGTTCTGTTAGTGTGGATGATGATCGTTGATGACTGCCCGGCGAAGAAGTTGATGCCAATTTTGGACAAGAACCCTTCAAATTTGATAAAATCGAAGAGATGATGCGAGACATGCGAGAAGAAATGAAGAAAACAATTTATGATTTTCCACTACCTGTCGAACAAGGCGATCCTACAACATTGTTACAAAAAATGGTTAATTCATATCTGGTGCATAATGGTTACAGTCAAATAGCTGAGGCGTTTGCCCGTACAACGGGTCAAACTCTAAGGGAAGATCTCTCATCCATGCGTAATAGACAAAAAATTCTAAAATTAGTTATGTCCGGTCGTATGGGCCACGACATTACGTTCATATCCTGGCCTCTTGGAGAACAATAAGAATTTGTGGTTTATGCTAAAGTGTAGACAATTTATCGAAATGATCAATGGCTCCGATATTGAGAATGGCAATACAAATGATGATACCTCCGTTGCAGGCGCAGCATCAACTGCCGGCATGGCCTCAACAAGCACCAATAATACCCTAACAGCAACAAATGTTAAGTCCGCACTATAGGGACTTGGATGGTTGGCAGGTACAGTGCAATAGTGTTGTCTTCCAATAGAGTCAGTGCGTCCAATACGCACTCGTGAGCAAAAATAAAATATGTAAATAGAAATAAAACACGATATGTTTTAGTAAGAGGTTTCGACCAATGCCGATATTTATTGATGGTAAACGATATTACCTGATGTACAACTATATGTACGGTGGCTTACAATAAAGCCTTCGTGTTTCCAACAATATGTGTGGCCAGTCAGTCGGTAACAACGATAGTTATCCAAGTACTAATAACAATGTTTGTTTACACAAAGATGCCTAAAGGTGGCGCAAAAGCAAAATGTCAACAAATGTCCGTTGAAATCTGTCAGCCTCATACTATTACAAGGATGTAATAATGAGGAGTAGACAGATTTCAACGGTTTCGACCTTTCAAATTAAAGGCTAACTATTTAACCATTTTAAATAGCAATTCTCGCTTAAACATTTGCCGCCTCCCTTGAAACATCCATATGTTTTAACAAATATGATAAATTATAATTAACGGCATAGTGCATGGTGAGCAAAACCTTTTACATTTTTTCAAATATTTTTTCATTTTTTTTACTTTTTTTCAAATAACAAGCTTACATGCTAACGATAGGGCCATTAGGGACCCCGCGATTATATAGATCATCAATGACCTGTTGTTCGAATGGGCCATTAGGGACCCCGCGGTTGTGTGAGGCCAGAAAGGACCTGTGGTACGAAAGGGCCATTAGGGACCCCGCGAAACGATAGAGCCATGAAGGACCCCGCGAAACGAATGAGCCAAATTGTGTTATGTTTGTTGAGGGCCGCCTTACAACGATTTCGTACGATTTACGAAAACAATTATTTTATAGGACCAGTAATTATCCAGCCGAATTTTGTATTTTGAGCGAGCAGCGATCCAGACGAGAGTCGAAAACTATGATTTTTACGATCTGCGGATATAAGTCTGCTCCTATCAAAATATCTACTGGACGAGATTCAAGGAAATCGGGATCTGCCAAAACTATATTTGACAAATCCGATTTAAGATCCGAAGTAATCGAAATGGATGGAAGATTTCCCGATATGGAATCTACTACCAATGCTGACGTTTCCAAACTGTGAGACCTATTACGACAACTACCCAGTTTAAATGAACATATTTTTCGACAAGTTGTGGCAACAGTACTATTTACTCCACGAATTGTCGAAATTGTGGGTTTAACCGGCAATTTCAATTTCTTCTGAAGCCGTTCAGAAATGAAAGACGACTCAGAAGCCGGATCTATTAACGCCCGAGCAGGAAAACAAGCACCATGGTGAACAATATTGACCATGGCTGTCCCCAATAGAACTGCTTTGTTCTGCGTGGCGTGAAAGGTCTGTCGAATAGCAGTGACCGCCGATGCGGGTGGACCGATCACAGTGGAAGAGGACGAATGACTACCATTAACATTTAAATTGCGTGGTCGAAAAGCTGGTGCCGAAGACGAAAAATTAGAATTTACAGGAGTCACCATCTGACTCGGAGAGCTCACAATAGAGCTATATCTGTGCAATAGAGTGTGATGTCTCTGATTGCACTTTCGACAACAACGACTATTACAATTTTTGACTTCGTGTCCCCTACGAAGACAATTAACACACAGACGATGCTTTTTGACCAATTTAAATCTATCGACAGGTGTACAATTTACAAACCGATAGCAATAATGTATTGTATGTTGCTCTGAACAAAGAACGCAACATGAATCAGGCGACGAACGAGGATTGGAAGCTATACATTTACGAGATACGGAACTCTTTCTATTATTTGAGTTTGACACAGTATTACCATTTCTCATCTCATGCAAACACAAAAGAGTACGAATTCTCTCTGTCAAGAATGCATCTAACTTTTTCCAAGATGAAAGAGACGATTTGGATTTTACACTTTGCTCCCATAAAGCGTGTGTCAATTTGGGTAATTTTTGCAAACAAAGAAATACCACAATCGGATCCCAATTATCGGTAGGTATGTCATAGATTGCCATTGCGGAAAGACAACTATTAATTCCGCGTTGAAGCGACTTTAGTCCTGAACTACTTTCCTGATCCAGCACAGGAAGACCGAACAAAGTCTTTAAATGGCTATGTACAATCAAACGTGGATTATTATAAGTGGAATTCAAGGCATTCCACGCAGGTTCAAAACTCCGATGAGTTAGAGGAAATTTCGAGACGATTTCTCGAGCCTCACCACTAGTTTTACTCACCAGATGACATAAACGCTCAATATCTGTCAATCGGGAGTTATTAATATAAACCGCACTAAATAAATCTCTGAAAGTGGGCCAATCAAGAATATTTCCACTGAAAATATCGATATTGCAAGGAGGTATTGCGAGATTGTGAAAGTTATCTACATTAGGAGAATCAACAACAAAGCTTTGACCTATTCTAGTATTCCCAATATTCAATATTTCGGAACTAGATGTCTGTGTTCCAGCATCACAAGAAGTGTGGGACGACGAGCTCATGTTATGAAAGGAGGCATCAACTGACGGCTTTCCCGGAAGAATATTATCGGGATGCTCCGTTACTGAAACAACTGAATTGCTAGGGGAATTCAGGGTCGATCTATTAGAACTTCTAATCTTAGATAACAATCTATTTATAGTGGATATGCAAACCCTGTATTCTTTAGATGAAACCTCATACTTGCTATATAATAAATCAAGATTTTCAGGACTATCAATATGTGAGAGACAATTATTAAAAGTTTTCTCAACCGATTTCCACAATTTTTTAATTAGTCCAAAGGAGTG